AAGAAAACGAGCAAGAATTAGTCCTCACTCTTAAGGAGCTTAAGTTCTAGAAACAAATGCTAATAACTGACTGCAAAACAGAACAAATTAAAAGATATAATGCATGATTAAGCTGTATAACGCATGATGAAGTTCCCCCAAAAGACTAAATGAGTGAAAACAAAGGATGGTATGTTTCAGATTATGAAATCATTGTACGCTGTGCCAGAGATGAATGACAGCATAAATCAGTGACAGCACAGATCAGTGAAATATGTGTGGACAGGTACTGGGTCTACAAATAGAGACAGCGAGGTCATGTTTGAAGGCAGTAAAAAATTGGGCTGGAGAGGAAGGTGGATTTTGAATACCATGCCAAGGAGGGCGGACTTGATTCTATAGGCAAACAGGAGTCACAAAACTACTGAAGGAGAAGAAGAATATGCAATCTGAATGTTAGGAGAGTAACTGGTAATATTTGAAAGATGGCTTGGAAAGGGAGAGAGACCAAAACCAGAGACACCAATTAGGAGAGAATTCATATTGTCTATTTAGCTGATCACATGATAAAGGCTACATTTGGGCAGAGGCAGCTGAATTGGTGGTAGGAGGACGTAGCTATAGGAGGGAGGGAAAGGGTTGGTTGTAGAGGCAACGGATATGTTTAGTACTCTGGTTGTGATGATCATGGGATGTATACATAGGCCCAAGCTCATCATGTAAAATTTGTTTTGTATATCAATTATGCCTCAAGGAAGCAAAAAAAATAAAAAGAAGGTAGATAAAGGAAGAAAGTGTGGGAAATGACTGCCTTTGTGTAGTTTGTTAAATTGGAAAGGATATTCTAGAGGTTGAGCATGATTTCAGATTGGGTTTCGTGTTTTTTGTTTTGTTTTGGTTGTTTAAATTTTATTGGGGAACAGCCATGGTCATTGGTTACACATTGCTTTCATGCTGCAATGGCATAGTTGACTCTTTTAGGGAGGATGCAGCTCACAGTGGCCCATGCGGGGATCGAACTGGCAACCTTGGTGTTATTAGCACCACACTCTAACTGAGCTAACCAGTCACTCCCTGGGTTACATTTTTATCAATGGTTTGACGATTGAGAAAGATATAACATCACCTAGGTGGTCATTGGGTATCAAATATTTCACTTGAATCCAATGATGAGTACACAAGCAGGCAAATCCAAATTGAGGAACATTCTACAAAACAACTGATCTCCCCTCTTCTAAAATGTCAGTGTCATGAAAAATGTAGAGAGGCTGGGGAATCCTTCTAGATTAAAGGAGGCTAAAGAGACATGGTAAGGAAATGCAAAGCATGACCCTTCATTGGATGAAAAAAAGGTAAAAAGCTCTAAAGAAATTAGTGGCAGAATTGAGGCTATTTGAATTTAAATTATATATTAGATAACAGTATTGTGTCCGTGTTAATTCCCTGCATGTGCTAATTCTATTGTAGTTATGTAAGAGAATATCCCTCACCTTGGATATGTGTTGAAGGACTTAGGGGTAAAATGTCATTATTATGAAACATAATCATGAAATGGGTCAGTGAAATGAAAAGCAAAATCAACAAACAATACATGCACATAAAGTAATATATATATATATATATATATATGTTAACATAAGATATACATAGATGTGGCTATAAATAAAACAAATGTGGCAAAATGGTGAATTAACTGCAATTCTGCCATAAATTTGAAATTGTTCCTAATCAGAAGCTAGATCGTCATTTGATAAAAGAGCTGTTAGGAAGTCACAGGCTCCTGTGTATGTGTAGCTCATGAAAGCCAAAATAACTTAACTTAGTTAATTTCTCTTTCTTTGTCTTAACTTAGTTAATTTCTCTTTCTTTGTCTTTTCAAATAGAGAATGTAAACTTTATTAGAACACTCTGCCAGTTAAAAAAAATGTATAAACACACATATGGTACACAGAGACTTACCAGTGATAAGTATTTCATGGTCTGAGGAAGCACTCCACTCCTTAGATCACCTAGTATGACTTCACCCATAACTCACTTTCAAAAAGTCACTGGGGTTGTAGATCTAAAGAATCCAACTCTCTACCCAGAATATGGTTCAGCAAATGCCAGCCTTATCACGTTTTAGACCTTCAAAGCATGAATATACACACTGCATTTATTTAAATACCTGTGTGCATCCTTCAAGGAGATGGTCGGGTTTTTTCTTCTTCAATTAAATTGGCTTATATATACAGTTGGCTTATAGATACAGTTGGAAAAAAATCTCCTTTGAATTCAGTCTTTTCTTTCAGAGAACAAACTTAACAACAGAGCCTATCGAATTTATATTGGCAAGGCATCTCTTAGCCTAACCACAGCCAATGGAATACAGCATTTCGTTCCTTACGTCTGGCTCTGCCACGATCCTCTCTGCTCCACAAATCATCAGGACCACAGCCTGAGGTGTACGTGAATTAGGGTGCTTTCATGCGCACGCTGCCTCTTCGCCAGTGTTGACGGGCCTAAATAATTAATGCTTCTAAGCACTCAGGGCCCCGAGTCTCACTAAAAGATGTGACTCAGCATCATGCTGCACTTACTTCAAAAATGGGGGGAAACCCTGCATTAGGAAATAACAGAAGTACTAAAACTCAGTTGTTTGGAGGAATTTATAGACTTTTCAAAAGCATATGATTTTGTTTTTCAGATGCCGATTGATCATTTCGTCCCCACAGTGCATTTGCTATACTCATATCTCACATGGAGAGATTGCCCTTCATTACTGAGGTGGGGTAAAGCCAGGAAAACAAAGAGAATACACCTTCTCTTCCTTCACAAAAGAACCACCACCTGGCTTTCCGACAAGGTTTGATTTCTCTGGAGGATATACCTCTGCCCACTGCTCAAGGTTCTTGAAGTTCATCGGATTTGCTTCCACCACATTCTCTCCCTCCTCAGAAATGCTCATCTCCTCAGAGCCCTCATCCACCGTCCTTAATATCGATCTTAATTCGTACAGACCTCACCACCATGTGGATGAGCCCACCAACCCTGGCCTTATCAACCCGTGACCGTACCCCTCACTGACCTCCGTGTACAATTTTTAGCAGCTCACTGGGAGGCTATACCTTTGATGTAGGCATTGCTCAAAAGTAGTATTTTACTTCCATGATGCCCAACTTTCGGATTTTCCTAATCTCCCACCATAAAACTCATTCACACCCTGGGCCCTTCCTTTCCGTCCCATCAGTCTGGGTTAGGCGCTCTGCCTCTCTCTATTCTACCCTCATGGACGATCTTAAGTATCAAATGACCTCCTCGACGTCTCATGATGCCAGGCTACAGAGCTTTAAGTGTGAGGGCTCAAGGAGTCCCCTGTCTCTTTCTTTCTGTGCGGTCAGATCAGGATGGTCAAGTAGAAGCAGTTTAGGACCCAGGGGAAAGCGCAGCACGGGGCTGACCCATGTTGGGCCTTAAGAGCGAAGGAAGAATGAAGAGGATGGACCAAATATTTGTGGCCCTCAGAAAACCACCTACTGTCTAGCCTAGTGCAGCAGGAAAAACCAATAAGCAGATGGCTGGCAACCCCTGTCCTGGCCATTTTCAAAGTGCACTGCAAAATGTCTTACTGGTTTTGACCTTCTCTTATCATTTATGCTTCATGAACTCCAGTTTGCTTAGAGCCAAGTGCTAGGTAGAGAACAACACTGAAGCAAGACACCCGACCTCGCTGACTGGTTCCTCAACAGTCATCTTTTACCTAAGCCCTCCCTGTTGCTTGCTAATGTTCCAAACGTGTCTTTACTTTTCCTCAAGCTGCACTCATTTTCAAGACAACCCGGTCTTTTATTTCACCGAAAAGACAGAAATTCTCCAACTTCCCTTCTCCTGGCTAAAAATGCTTTCTCAGAAGTGGCTAATGTGTTTCCCATGATCCAATGGGCTGTCATTTCTTTTCACTTCCCTTGAACCCTTTTCAGCACTTGACCTGTGGCCCACATCTTCTTTGAACCGATCCCTGTTCCCCACTCCTTCGCTACCCCATCATCCACATGGAGGTCTTCCCCAATGCACCGCATCCAAGCACCTTTGTTCTGTTATTTCTCATCTCAATTCTGTGGAGCTCGCACTCCAATCTCTGCAGCCTGCCCTTTTAAACCAGTTACAGACCCGGATTTTAACTTCTTTCTGGACATGACTTATACCTGCTAGTTCCTGAAACACAGTATATTCACAGTCAAAAGGATCACGATCTTCTTCCACCCAAATCCTCTCCCTTCATTTCTTTTCCTCACATTTGCCCGTCAGTCCCCCGGGCCCGGGTACACTTTTTCAAAGATGACTTTTTCTCACAGTCATCTCCTCCCATCCCATCGCTGATCTCTCTCAAGCCTAGGCCCTCAGAACTCCTATTAATGTCTCCCAACTGGTCTTTCTAACTATAAGAGTTTTACTTTGGGCCAGATACAGCTGCCAGAATATATATCTTTTTAGATATTTCTTACTTTGTATATGATTCACAGTGGCCCCCTGCCACTGACCAAAATGAGTCGAACACCTCTGCCCAACATTCGTATCAGTATAATGTGACCTCAACCTTCCTCTGCAGCTTTATTTTCCCCACCTCTTGGTTGGACCCTATCTTTCTACTAACTGGACCATTGTCTCCCAACCTTGGCCCAAGGTCCTCATTTCTACATCTTCAGTTATGTATTCCTTCCTCAAAGTACACGTGGTTCCTACTCCATCCTTTGCAACTCTGCACTAATATCAATTCATCATAAAGCCTTGTCTGGTCTCCAAAAATGAATGACACTTGAATACCCCACTGCCTTGTTCTGAAAAACTGAATGGCTGGCTCTCTGAGGGCTAAGACTACATCACTGATCTTTGTACCTCTAATGCATTTATTTATGACAATGCCTTGTCCAGAACTGATATTCAATCATGTAGCTATTGATTTGGACCTCTGAGCAAACCCTTCACCATTTCCAGACCTTAAGAGATAACAAAACCCAGGAGTAGCTAAGACGGACACTTACCCATGGATTCTGAAGTTTGACTGCCAACCACCCGGAGCAGCATGGGCTGACTGCTGTCTGACCTCTGAAGAGAGGTAGAAGGAGAGGAGGCCGTTGTACCATTCACCTTGGCCTCTGCCTGGGGCTGAGGCATTAAAAAAAAAACCAGAATTATTTTTCATAGTAAACACTCAATTAATTATATAAATAGAAAACTATTATATAGCCACTCGGGACTCAGAAATTACAAACTTTCCTACTTAGAAACCTCCCAAAGATGATTAAATTTGAGAAATGTCACTATTGAGGAGACCCACAGATATTGTCTTGGTATTTGAATTGTGCCCCCTTATATGTCTGAAAAATAAATTACAGCTATAGTGGAATACGATATATAAAATCAGATTAAATAACTGAAAGGTTTAGAAGGTCATGTGGAATGGTGAAGCCATGTGGGACCACAGAAATGTAGTGGAGAATTCATATTTTTGCGAAGTATTAAGTAGCAAGATGGAAAGAACGTATCTCAAAATTTAAAATTCCCAGAGAGCCAGGACCGTGTGCAGGTAGGGCCTACTACGATGCAGCATCTTGCTAGGTTTCCTATGGATGCTTGAAAAATGATGCTTTAGGGATTAGAAAAAGAACAACAACAAAAAAAGGTTGCCAGAAAATAAGACTAACTGCAAAAAAGAGAGCTCCATTTCAAGAGGTAAAAATTTTCCTTTTAGCAAACTAGTGGAAACCTTCTGCTACTTTTTAAAGATAAATTTTGAATCAGTTCAATAAAAAATACATGCGTAGGAAACAATGTTGAACAAATATTAATAAACACCCTAGTTTTCTGACTCATATCCTTTGTTATCTAGCACTTTGCTAGGCTAGGCACATACGAGGCACTCGGTAACAAATTGATGCTTGTTGCTCCTCTAACAAGGACTCTTGAGTTTTGTTTAGTTTTGTTGAAGGGAAAAATGAATTTTTGTAACTGTCCCGTGTTAGAGAGATGTGGGCCTCACTTGCTCCAGCAGCTGCCTTAGCCTGTGTAACTGGGACTCCAGCTGTTTATTGTGGTCTTCCAGGATCTGCATCCTGGCTTCTAGGCGGCCTTTGTGTTGACGCAGTAGCTTGGCCTCAGCAATGAGCTCAGCATCCCGGGGACTCTGGGGAGAGGTGGGCATCATTTCAGGAGGGGACGGCAGTGGAGACAGGCCTTTGTGTTCGTGCTGCTGCTTCAGACGATCATATTCTGCTTGCAGATTTCTGTTGGCATCAAAGAAGTGAAAAAAAAAGGAAAGAAGAAAAAACAAAGTAAGTTGAATGTCAACACCAGATTTTATATAAAATGGCAGAGAGATGACCACCACCAAACACAATAGCAAGCAAAAGAGAGGCACTTAATGAATGGATTTTATGATGACGATTAGCAATGCTAAAGAAAAACAAAATAAAATTGGAAGCATCTGCCCGGTGTGTGAGGGGAGATGCTTTTCAACCTTTTATTTTATACTAAAAGCCTTATTATGAGTGCTATGTTCAGATAAGTAAGCAGCAAAGGATTTAATCATTTTGTAAATACTTCTTTATAATGCCACGAGATTACAATTTTTATACCTCTATTGACACTGGTTTGCTTAAAAAAAATCACATATTTTCACCATCAATGGATAGGAACATAGTAATAGTGAACCCATGTACCCAGCACACTGCTTTAATATATGTAACATTTGCCATATATTCGTGGACAATTTTTGGAAGACACAAAATATGACAGTTCAAGCTGAAGCGCCCCCACATACCCTGCTCAATACCACCATTCTCACCATGACCCCCCAAAGAGATAATGCCACCCTGAATTCCAGGTCCATCAATACCGTATCCACAATTAGGTTGAACTTAATAAAGATGGTGCTATTCGGCTGTTTTTGAACCAACAAAATGGCCGTTTCATGTAATCCAATCCAACAGCATTATTTTGCACAATCTTAACTTTACGTTTAAGAACTTTAAGTATGTACATACCATTTTAAGAGTTGCTTTTCACCTTCAACACGGTTTTGGAGATTTATCCATGCTGATACATAATGGTTCGCGATTTTAAGTGTGGTAAGCTATTATTCTGCTGCTTGAATATGCCAACAACATTCTCCTGTCAGCGGACATTTTAAGTTTCCAACTTTTCACAATTACAAACAATGATGCAATGAACTTCCTTCTACCTGTGTCCTTGGGTACCTGTTTTAAGAGATCCCTTTACAGGACACATCTAGATATGGAATTGTTGGGTTCTAACAACTTGACCTTTACCATCGCTATCTATCAAATTGCTCTCCTAAGTGGTTTTACCAATTTACTCTCTTACAGGTAGTGAGCAAGGTTTTCCATTACACCACATTTTCACCAAATACTTGGTGTTATTGAATCTGCTGATTATGATGAATCTAATGGGTGCATGTTAATTGGCGCATTCCTGATTATTGGTGAGAATGAACTTCTTTTGTGTTAATTGGCTTTCCATGTTTCCTTTACTCATTTCCCTACTGGATTGCCTTTTTCTTACTCAAGTTTTGGATATATTCTGGATACTTATTTCTTTGCCAGCTATGTTCACAAGAAATATTATCTCCTACCCGTATCTCAGCGTGGCTTACCTTTAACTTTGTTCATGGCATCCTGTTGTACAAAAAACTCATATGTTAATGTACTCCTCCATGTTTTCTGCTTTATATGTCTTGCTTAAGAAAATCTTCTCTAAGCTTACATTTTCAAGTTTAAAATTTTGTTCTTCACATTTAGGACTTTAATTTACCCAGAATCTTTTGTGCTTGGTGTGAACATATTATCTACTTTTACTTTCCCCCATAGGTAACTTATTACCTATGAACTATACCCATTCATTGTATAGTTCTTTTCTCCATTGATTTCTAGTGGTACCCTGGCAATACAATGACTGTCCATAAATCCTTTAGTGTGCTTCTGAGCTCTCTATTCTATTCCGTTGGTTTCTTTGTGTGTCCCCTCCCCGTGCAGATGCCTCACCACAGCTTTAAATAAACTGGTGTCTGGTAGGCCTTCCCACATTTTTCTGCCTTAAAATTGTCATGGCTCTTCTAATCCCTTTCATCTCCTCCATGATTTTGGTGTCACATTTTCATATGAAAATTCTTGGTGAAATGTGGGGTTTGCATTACATTGAATTTATCAATTAAAATGGGAAGAACTGACTTCATGGTATTAAGTCTTCACATCCAGGAGTGTGGTGAAGCTCTTCATGTCTTCCAGTCTCATTTCATGTGCATTATTAATGTATAATTTACTGTGCCTTTTCATCTAGCTTTTCAGGTGGAATGCTTAAATAATTTATTTTTTATTTTTATGCTTTTTAATAAATAATTTAGGGTTACAGGTTTCCTTCTTGCTTTAGAATTGCTGATAATGCTATTTGGTACCTGGTGACTGATTAGAACTCTTTGATTTCTTCCAGTTACAATAAATACCAAAATAAGATGACAGATTTCTGTTGTTTTCAGGTGCTATTTCATCAAGTGAGAGAACTTCCTATCCACAAATAGAGAACCTCCTATCCACAAATGTGGGAGATCTATACCTATGAGAAAAGACATGAGATTCAAGTGAGGCAAGAAAGAGTTTTTCCATTGTCCAGTTTGAGAGAGTAAGATAATCTCATGACCAGTTTCCTATTAGGGAAATTTTTTCTGTTGTTCCACACCTGGAATGAATGTTCCACAGGTGACAGCATGTCTTCCAAAATGCTCAGATTCTGAATGATTGATCTCCACATTGAAGAAGAAGAAATAAAATTCAATCTATTCTTTTTTTTTTTTAAAGCTCTACCCTGTACCTAACATTACAAGTTTTCTAGGAATTTAAAGTCATGCAGGAAATCAATATATGATCTTTTTAATCTACAGGAATATAATCTCCTATCTGTCTAGATTGAAATCCCATCTGCTATATCGTCAAGAATAGTTGTGTGTCTAGTTTGTTTCATAGCAATCTGCTTTGACAAAGCAGTAATAAGAAGAGATTGATCAAAATAAGTTTCCCCTCAGCCAGATTCTGAACAATGGTCTTCTGGGTGTGAACCAATGCACGTAGTCATCCACATTAATTAAATCCAATTTTTAACCACTTCACTGACAGTCATCTATATGTTTCTGTGAACTTGAAACAGCATCCAATGTTCACAAGGTTTCACTTGATAGGAATTATCTTCTATTTTTCCCCCTTTTAGTATTCACTGAAAGAAACCCACCTTCATTGAAGTGTCCCAACTGGTAACATTTTTTTATGTAGAATCCTATTCAGGATACTTCTTTCTACCAGATTGGGTCATCCACAATGTTCTTTTTGAAAACACTGTTGTACTATTCTAAAAACAAACGATTACTACCTTGCCACCTATTTTTCACAAAGGTACTGACATTTTCTGGAGAGGTCTTCCTTGGTTTCTTGATCCTCTGGGTTTAGTTGTCCACAGAGCTCTCCTTTAATCAGTTATTTACAAGTGACTTTGTTCAGAAAACATGATTTAGTATATACAACACATTACATTTCTGTTTTTATGTTTTCCAGTGACAAACAGAAAAGGTCATTTGAATCAGCCAGGGCTTCCCAGAGCTGAGCTGTAAAGAATACCAATTGCTGCTAAGTAGAGCTATTCTTGCCTTCCCAGATGTTTGAAATTTCTCTTGGGAGGCCATTTCCTTAAAAACTCGCATCCTTCTTCAGTTCTGGAAGATTTTAAGCTATTATAGCTTCAGACATTGCTTCTCTGCCATTTCCTCCATTCTCCTGAAACGTCTAATAGGTGTATTTTAGAGCCTTGTGGTCAATTCCCCATCTCTTTTAATTGCTCATTTATATTTCTTATCATTTTCTCTTAGTGCTATGTAAAGTCCTCAGACTCATCTTTTAATTCATTTCTCTTCTCTGAGTCCAGTCTAAAATGTATCCTCTTTATTGAATCTAGTAGCTTCAATGATGATAGTTTTTATTTCCAAAGATGCTTTTTGGAAATAAGATCCATCTGTTTCTTAGTTTCTTGGTATTTTTTAATAAATGGTATTTCCTTATTTATGTCTTTGAGCATCCTAAATGTACGTACAAACAATCCTTGTTATACTGTTCTGTCATTTTACTTTCATCTAGGCTTCATTCATCTTTTGATGGTCAGTTTGGAGGGACTATCTCACTTCTTTATGGGCTTTGGATTTTGGTTTGAAGACACATTAAATAATGGAGTGTGTGTATTTTCTCTCATATTTTCCTCTCCTGCTGAACTCATCTATCTCCATAAAGTGGTTTTGTGGTTGTTCCCATCTGCCACTCAAAGGCCTCTGGTCTACTCTATGAGAGTCAGAGCTGATACTGGTAGTTGGCAGCTTCCACATTGAATGATGGGAGTGTAATTATTGCAAATTCCATCACCAGGCAGCATGGTTCGAGTGCTGGTATCAAGGTTCCGATGTTCTTCCCAGCTGTACTCCTCACCTCTTCCCCAGGCTCTACACATTAGGTCCACAGCTGCATATAAGCTGTGGTCCCCTGCAGCAGTCCAAATTGCTCTTTTTTCCAATTTTCTTTCAAGTGTAAGTATGCACGTGGATGTGTCCCTCCACGTGTGTTTTTGCAGGGCCCTTATTTCAAATGTCTGGCTTAGGCCCCCACCTTGTGAGGAGAGTTGTAATCCCTATTATTACAGTGGGAGCGGTAAGCCCCATTATGCCCCACACACTGCACCCTGAGTTTGGTTTTCTTTTCCATTTGTGGTCCACAGAGAAGTGCATCTTGTTTAAAAGCCCAGCTATGTCTCTTGCGTTTTTGTTTCACTCCATATATTATCTATCACTGGATAAATGGTAGGAGCAGAGGAAGATGCCTTAAAGCAAGAGCTAATGTTATCTTAATCAGAAGGCTCCCGGGACACATTGATTTTGTAGATGTATGCTCGAGGTTCCCCCTCAGTATTTATTCAAACTAAAGTCACCAGGACAGGATTAAATGAGCTAAACAACTGCCTTTCTCTTAAATATGTGACATACATAAACCTTCTATTAAGCTCAATAACAAATTTGATTCGGAGGGTCCAGTTTTTCCTCCCAAATCTCTGAGGCTGGACAAACTGTCATGCCAAATGTTTGAAAAGTCAGAAATAGCTCAAAAGAGGTTTCTTGGCCAGAAACCAAGTAAAATACAATGTTCTTTGATTTGAGTCTAAATTCTCTTTTAAAGGCATTTAC